ATCTTTAGATATTTTATGGACACATGATTGATATCTCTGGATATTTTATGGACACATGAATGATATCTCTAGATATTTTATGCACACATGAATGATATCTCTAGATATTTTATGGACACATGAATGATATCTCTGGATATTTTATGGACACATGATTGATATCTCTAGATATTTTATGGACACATGAATGATATCTCTAGATATTTTATGGACGCATGAATGATATCTCTAGATATTTTATGGACACATGATTGATATCTCTAGATATTTTATGGACACATGAATGATATCTCTAGATATTTTATGGACGCATGAATGATATCTCTAGATATTTTATGGACACATGATTGATATCTCTGGATATTTTATGGACACATGATTGATATCTCTGGATATTTTATGGACACGTGATTGATATCTCTTGATATTTTATAGACACATGATTGATATCTCTGGATATTTTATAACCTTGGAAATGTCTTAAATTCATTTTACCAGGCTGGGACACATTAATATTATATTAAATAGCACATTTGGTTATCAAAAAAAAACAACATGTTTTTTTTCGACCAATCAAATTGTGCTTCTGTATTTACGCTTCAGCTGCCAGTACAGCCGCTCAGCCAACTTTATATGACTATTCAGATGTTCTTTATAAGTCTATACTCTTCTACGAAGCTCAGCGATCAGGTGTATTACCACCAACCAACAGAATACCCTATCGAGGAGATTCCGCTTTAGATGACAAGGGACTTAACGGTGAAGATTTAACGGGTGGCTGGTATGATGGTGGGTGGTGATGTAGATCTTTCTATCGAAGCATTCTAATACACTTAATACTACGTTTTCAATTATATTCGTCAATCATTCATATTCGCAGCCGGTGATCACATTAAGTCAACCTACCCGATGGCGTTCAGTGTCGCGATGCTCGCATGGGGATATCTGGAATTCAAGGATGCATACGAAGAAGCCGGTGAAATACAGAATATGTTGGACTGCATCCGATGGGGGACAGACTTTCTACTGAAAGCACACACAGCGCCAAATGAATTATATGTACAGGTGTGGTTCGGTTCTTATACTGCCATCAACGGTCACAAGTTTGTTTTTTTTCTATTTAATATGAATACAACATAAATGTGTAGTCACATCGAATGTGTTTGAGTTCCAGCATGGCAGCGTTAAATGAACATGTGCATCTATAGTTTTCTGGCCAATCGAATTTAGTGATCATGGTAAATACGTACGCCTCGATAAATAAAACAACTTGATGATAATGTGCATTTGATGGCTTATTGTTAGCATCCTGGGGAATTATTGACATATGTGCATCACCTATTTCTGTTGACAACATTTCCTCATTAGACTGGTTTCGTAACGAATATAGTTTCCGTTAAAAACACTGTACTTCACGGACATCGATTTAAGATTTTTACTATTAAAGCGGGGGGGGGTCGTCACCTACGCATGCGTCATCATTGTTTACAAACAAAAGTCTACCCATGAGCCTTTGCGTACTT